TTCTTTCTCCACAGATGCTGCCAGACCTGCTGAGCTTTTCCAGCAACTTCTGCTTTTATTCCTGATTTCCAGCATACGCAGTTCTTTCGGTTTTTATACAAATGCAAGTTGCTTTTGTTGCAGGTGCTTGAGAGGGGAAGTTTGAATTGAAAGTTGATGGCTCTGAGATGTGCGCAATTTCTCTCTAACAGGGAGAGGCCAGCAGCGATTCCCATTAATATCCGAAGTATTGACGATACTTCAAACTTTGACGAATTTCCTGAGTCGGACATCTTGCAGCCAGGTATGAAGGAATTACATTCACTGCACATTAAATCCTTCACTTGGGAATCTGAAACATGCCATGTTTTAAATGTTAAATTAAAGGCCAAATGTTTTAAAAGCATGAAGGAATCTCTGGCACAATTGTTAAGGTTTGTCATATGCATATTATACAACTAGTCCTTTCTTTTTAAAGAAAGGAATTGATTGTTTTACCTGGTTTATAACTTTATTTCTGTACGTCAGAGGTATAGAGGTTTTACAAGCTTCGAAGGAGGCTGTTCGGCCCATTGTGTCCATGCTGGTCATCAAACATCCATCTGTTCTAATCCCATTTTCCAGCACGTGGCTTTGTATACTGTGGTGTTTCAAATGTTCACCTAAATGCTACTCCAATGTTTTGAGCATCTCTGCCCCTACCACACCTTTTTTGGCAGTGAGTTCAACATAGCCACCGTACTATAAATGAAAAAGACTTTCCTTCAGTCCTGTCTAAACCTCCTGTTCCTAACTTTAAAACTGTGATCCCTGGTTATTGAGCCCTCTACAAGGGGGAAAGGTTTCTCCATATCAACGCTGTCTATGCACCCCCCCCCTTTTAATTTTGTACACCTCAGTCAGATCCCCCTCAACCTTTCCTGCTCTAAGGAAAACCACCCAGCCTATCTAAGTCTCTCTAATTTATAGATCTATTCCAGCCCAGGCAGCATTGTGAGGAATCTCCTCTGCACCCTCTCTAGTGCAATCACATCCTTCCTATAGTGTGGTACCAGAACCCCACAGTACTCCCAGCTGTGGCCTAATGAATGTTATAGACAGTTCCATCATAACCTCCCTGAGTCTTGTATTCAAGGCCTTGATTAATAAAGGCGGATATCCCTTAACCACCCTGTCTACCTGTCCTGTTGCCTTTAAGGTTGGATATTTGTGGTACTTTCACAGCTTTATGAGCAGTTCTTGGCCTGTTTCCATGCTCTATTACTCTGACTCTATAGCTGTCTGCCTGTTGTTGCATCTTTAATCGTTCGTACATTCCTGCATTCTAGAAATTGCAGAAGCAGGATATGGAGAACTGTGTTAGAAAGGAGAAGCAAATTTCGATTGATTTAAGATGCAAATTCTGGAATCTGTTTCAAGTCACTGCCCCGAGGATTATTGAAGGTTTTATCAGTGTCTGCCTAACTTTTCAAACTTCACATAAGCAGAGCGATAGGAATAAACAAAAGATGACATCTCCGATCAGACACTGAATTGTAGGTGTGAGGCCTTGTTCAGAATCTGTCCGAGTTTTAAACTGGAATCAGGCAGGTTTTATTCCGAAAGCAGGAATTTATAAAATGCCACACTGACTAATCTCTCTGCCCTTGATCTCTCTGCCTATAAACTCTCTGCCTGTGTGCTCTTCTCTCACTTCACCTAACGAAGGGGCTGCACTGCGAAAGCCTGTGATTTCAAATAAACCTGTTGGACTATAACCTGGTGTCATGTGATTTATTTTTTTTGACTTTCAGTAACAATCTTAAATAAACGGTTGGCCTAATGGTGACCAATAACCTCTGCCATTTGACCTGGCTGCTTCCCTAATGTCCCTCCGGGAGGGAAATCTGCCATCCTTACCTGGTCTGGCCTCCATGTGACTCCTGACCCACAGCAATGGGGTTGACTCTCAGGCGCTGGCCCAGCCTGGATGAATGATTTTATTTGAAGGCTAAGCAGCCGTAGGGTACTTCCTTCAAAAGAAGGCTCACTGTTAGGTCGATGTAAAAGTGGCCGTGACCTCGTTGAGGAGAAACCGCTTGAGTTGGCTTCTTGTGGGTGACCTAATACTTATTTTGCAGCCGACTCAGCCGCTAATGTAGGTGTTAGTGAAATTATAGATTGTACTTCTTCAGGTGGAGACTAGTCCAAGTTTGTGATTCTGTTTATAACTGATTGGTAGTTGTTGCTGAATCAGTAATTAATTTTAAATCTGAGCCCAATCATGTGTTTCTTTTAAGTGAAGGTAAACGTGTGGAGCTAGTATCTCAGTGAACATTTGGTGCTCAAACTCCAAGGGTTAAGTAACTTCCTCCTCTTCCTATTGTTCATTGGCTGTGCGGCCTTTTGGAGTGTCCCGAGGATGTGAAAGGTGCCATATCAATGCAAGTTTGTTCATTTAGTTAACTCTAACTCATTAGACCTACTATTGGCCACATGAGAGTCAGCAGCACAGGAGGAAGAGGAGGAGGAGGAGGAATGGTATGAGCTGATGAGCTCTTGCAAACGGCCAGTATTAGTATAATGGGTCAAATGGCCTGCTTCAATGCTATAACCGCTCCGTCATTCAGTGTTGTGTTGGTGCAAAGTCCTTTAGTTGAGGCTAAATGTGTCTCCTTCCTTTTTTTGTTTGTTATCTCAGCGCCCAACATGACTGACACGGATTATAAATCTAAAGACTGGGTCTTCATTAACTACACCTACAAGAGGTTCGAGGGCCTGACTGCTCGGGGAACTATCCCATCATACATGAAGGTGGGGAAATCCTGAAGACTGCTGGAGGGTTACAATGACCTGTGTGTGCGTGTGCACCTCTCTCTTCCCCTTTCCTCTCCTCCCACCTCCACCCTGAGGACTCACTGTTACACATCCCCCAAACTCCCAGGTCAACCAGAGTTCTGCTGGATTACAGTTCCCTGCAGCTCAGTATCTACTTTTTATTTGAACTTGTTCGTAGAACAAAGAACGCTGCATCTTGCATGGATTCACTCCCTCAATGATGGATTAAAACCAGCGGCCACTGTTGGATATTTTTAATTTAATGTGTGTGTGTGTGTGAGCGTGTGTGTGCATGTGTGCTGTTGGGATGCAGTGTTCCGATATGTGGCTGTGTTTAAGCTGCATGTGCCAGCGAGTGTGGATGGAGGGCTTGCAGTTTCTACCAAGAGTTGTGAAATCTGGTGGAATGTTGCACCATGAGTGTGCATTTGCGAGATTGTGATTGTACTGAAGCTGTGCAGCACCTGTAAGGAATAGACTATAAAACCCGACTGCGCACACCCCACCCCAGCCCCACCGATTTGAAATTCCTTGTCTGCCTTCGATTCTGATGGGCTCAAGGCTCTGGGCTCGATACCTGAACCATGACCCAGATGGGCACTCCTGAGGTGCCATTTTCTGGATGAGATGTTACACAGGAGGATCCAGTCTGGCCTCTGACCTTAGCCAATAAAGATCCTGTGGTGCTACATTGAGGAAGAGCAGTGGTGCTTCCCACTAAAGTCCTGGATCAGTATTTTATCTGTTGATTGACATGGCAGAAAGCAAATCTGGTCATTTGCCACATTGCTGTTTGTGGGAGCTTGCTGTGCACAGATTGGTTGGGATGCTACCCACATTACAACAGTACTCCCCATCCTTCATTGATTGATTGAAATGTCCTGGAGAGTTGAAAGGTGCTATATAAATACAAGACTGTGTTTCCCACTTTCAGCTCTCCCCACACTGTCAGTTCCCTCTAACACAGAATTTACTTCTCTCTGTCCCTCTTTCTGTGGAGGGACAGCAGCGAGTTCAATGTCACCTCAACACTAAACTCATCGCCTGCCGTTTTTGTGTAATTGCATCAGGGAAGCTGCTGTTTGCAAATCACCCTGGACTCTTGCAATATTATCTCCCCATGTAATTAAACTACCAGAGCCAATTTGGACCTATTTGGACTGCAAAGAAATCCTCACCGAATATATTGTGTGTGTGTGTGCGCGCGAGACGGACCAGCAAAGATGCCAGTGTGTCTGCCTGTGTGTGGACCCGGTATCCTGTGTGTGTCTGTGTGTGTGTCTGTAACCTGTAGAAGTCTTGTTGCCAGGCCCTTTAGATTGAGTCAGTATCTTCTGTTACTCTGTGTGACATTGTGCCACTTTCTCGCGTAGCAGACTTCCTTTTTCTTCTATTTTTATTTTAAAAGCAAACCAAAGATCTTTGTTGTTGGACATGAAGTTTTGTTTCTGAGGATGACTTTGTTCTTGGAATCCTACAAATCAGTTTTGGGAACATTCTTTACTGAGATGTTGTACTTTTTTTTAAAGTTGAATAATAAAGCTGTTTTCTGACAGTTCTCTTTTAATTGTTTGGAGTAATGTGATAAACTACAGCTCTTATTTTCTGCCACATGTCACCACTTTCTTTGCCCTTTTCCAATTCCTTCCCCCTTTTTTTTTTTTTCTTTCTACTGTCCCTCACCTTTCTCTTTCCCCTTCTCTTCCTCCGGCACTCCATATAAATACAGTGGATACAAGAGGGGGGAAAGGGGTGCTGTCAGAGCCTGGGTTTGTTCACTGATGCTGTGTTAAAATCCTGGAATTTCCTCCCTAAGGGCATTGTGGGTCAACCTACAGCAGGTGGACTGTAGCAGTTCAAGAAGGCAGCTCACCACCACCTTCTCAAGGGGCAACTAGGGATAAGCAGTATATGCTGGCCGAGCCAGTGATGTCCATGTCCCATAAATTTAAAAAAGAAACTTCTCCCTTCCTCCCGAACCCCTCCACTTTCCCGTGAAGTGGTTGGATTTTTATTGCTGGGGTGTGGGCATCACTTAGTGTAATTGTCCCTTGAGAGGGTGGTGGTGAGCTGCCGCCTTAAACCGCACCTCTCCATGTGCTGTAGGTTGACCTATTTCCAAATCAGGATGGTGAGTGGCTTGGAGGTGGTGGTGTTCCCATGCATCTGCATCTGCTGCCTTTGCCCAGGTAGATGGAAATGGTTTTGGGTTTGGAAGGTGCTGTCTGAGGATTCTGGTGAATTTCTGCAGTGCGTCCTGTATCCTGCTACTGAGCAGGAGTGATGCTGGATGTAGTGCCAATCAAGTGGGCTGCTGTGGCCTGATTTCTCCTGCAATGAGCACTAAAGGCAACCAGAGAATCCCTACAGTGTGGAAACAGGCCATTCAGCCCATCAAGTCCACACTGACTCTCCAACCATCTCTTTAACTCTGCATTTTCCATAGCCAATCCACCTAACCTGCGCACTTTTTTGGACTGTGGGGGGCAGAAAAAAAACTAGAGCCCTGGAAGCAACCCACGCAGATACAGGGAAGAACATGCAAACTCCAGTTGCCCAAGGCTGGAATCAAACCCAGGTCCCTGGGCCTGTGAGGCAGTAGTGCTAACCACTGAGCTGCCTTCCTCATTTGTCTAGCAACTATGGGTGATTAATGGACTATGCACTTAGGAAAGAAATTCTGCCAACCCTCCAGTTTGACCTGTGTCTCCAAGAATTGGAAACTAATTTCTAGGCGATTTCTGGAAATTTGTTAGAAATCTGGGGAAATATAAGTTTGAGCCTCAACTCTGAATTTTGTTCATTTTACTTTGAACGTTCCTTCTGCTTTTTAGTTACAAAAATGATTTGGTTGATGAGAGAACAAGGCAGTTTGCAATGAAGATTCTTTTCCTTTCCAAATTAGCTGCAGAACGGTAGAGCATCTACAGGATGGACCTGAGCAGTGACCTATTTCAGTGCGAGTGGGAGCAGAGGTGGGGGATTATTGTGTGAGTCCTCCCTGATTGACATCCAAGAGCAGTTTGCAACCTTACCTTCAGGAAATGTCCACCAAGCCAGGCCCCGGTTTGTGTAATTAACTAGATCCGATTTGTGCCTTTGTCAGTGTTTCATTTTCTGTAGAAACACCAGTGAAGTCAGTACAGAATTCAGCCAAGCCCTTGACAAATCATCTTGGAGGACTTGGAAAAAGTTGCATTATTCCTTGACGCCAGCAGGGCACCATGTTGAGATAACAAGATGTAGAGCTGGATGAACACAGGCCGAGCAGGAAAGCTGACGTTTCGGGCCTAGACCCTTCTTCAGAAATCTGAAACCTTTCCACCCACTAGATATTTACTGTTAAATTTTATAATGAAAACAGGAACACAACTGAATAAATGGATATTTTTCATTAAACGTCAAAGCAAAATTCTGGTGTAATTCTCAAACGACGTGGGTCCTTGACTGTCAGATCATGGCCATGGAATCAAACAGCACAGGAAACCCCTCAGCCCATTGAGTCTGTACTGCCAGAAATACCATACCATCTACACTAGTCCCACACTCCAACACTAGGCCGTGGTCTTGAATGTTATGTCACATCGTGCTCAGCCAGCTTTTTAAAGGTTGTGAGGGTTCTCTCCACAACTCCCCTCCCAGGCAGTGCATTCCAGAACCCCACCACTCTCTGGCTGAGAAATGTTTTCCACTAAACCTCCTGCCCTTCACCTTAAGGTTATGCACCCTTGTTATAGACTCTTCCATTAAGGGGAACAACTGCTTTCTATCTACCATGTCCATGCCCTCCATCATCTTATACGCCTCGATCAGGAACCCCACAACTTTGTGCTCTAAAGAAAACAGCCTGAGCTTATCCAGCCTCTCTTCGTTGCTAAACTGCTCCATCCTGGTGAATGTCCCCTAAACACCCTCCAGGGCAAACACATCTTTCCTGTAGTGTGGTGACCAGAACTGCACCAGTGCTCTAGCTGTGGCCTAACCAAAGTCCTGTACAGCTCCAACATGACCTCCCTGCACTTTTACAAATCTCTGTCACAGTTGATGAAGACGTGTCCTGTACGCCTTCAGCACCACCCTATTAACCTGTTCTGCCACCTTCAGGTATCTGTGAACAAGCATCCCAAGATCCCTCTGTCCCTCTAAACTGCCACATGACGGTAAGAAATAGGAACAGGTATAGGCTGTTCAGCCCTTTGAGCCTGCTGTGCCATTCAAGAGGACCATGGCTGATCCACTTTCCTGCCCTTTCCCTGTAACACTTGATTCCCCGCCTGATCAAGAATCTATTTCTGCCTTAAATATACACAAGGACTCTGCCCCTACAACTTTCAGTGGCAAGGAGTTCCAAAGACACTCCATGCTCAGTGGAAATCACTCCTCATCTTGGTATTTTAAATTGGTGCTCCTTTATTCTGAAACTGCGCCTTTTGGTCCTAGACTCTCCCATGTGGGGAAACATCCCCTCAGCATTTGCCCTGTCAAGCCCCTTAAGAATCTTGTGTATTTCAATGAGATCACTTCCCATTCTTCTAAACACCAGTGAGTTGAGTCCCAACCTGTTTAGTCCTTGCTCACAAGACAAGATCATCCTGGAGAACCTTTTCTGAACGGCCTCCAGAAGAATGATATCTTTTGTGAGATACCTAAACTGCCGACAGTGCTCCAGATGTAGCCTCACCAGCACCTTGTCCAGTTACAGTAAGTCTTCCCCACTACTCTAACCCCCTTGAATTGAGGGCCAACATTCCATTAGGCTTCCTGGTTACCTGCTGCCTCTGTGTGCTAGCTTTCTGTGTTTCATGCACAAGTAACCCTCCCAAGTCCCTTTAAGGGAACTGCAGAAAGCTGCAGCACAATTTAAACAATACCCTGTTAAGATGGTGAAAATACACCATAGTGCTATTACTGAGGAAGGGAGTTAGAATCATAGAATCCTCAGTGTGGAAACAGGCCATTCAGCCCAGCCAGTCCACACCAACCCTCCAAAGAATATCCCACTCAGACCCATTCCCCCAAGCCTGCATTTCCCACGGCTAATGCACCTAACCTACACATCCCTGAACACCATGGGCAATATAGCATGACCAATCCACCCAACTTGCTCATCTTTGGGAGGAAACAGGAGCACCCAGCAGAAATGCACGCAGACACAGGGAGAATGTGCAAACTCCACACAGACAGTTACCCCGAGGCTGGGATTCAACCCAGGTCCCTGGCTTTATGAGGGAGCAGTGCTAACCACTGAGCCATGCCATAGTTTTATGGTCATCATTGGTGTCTTATTTCCAAATTTTATTGAATTCAAATTTCACCATCTGCTGTGGTAGGATTCAAACCCAGATTCCCAGACCATTTCCTGGGTCTCTGGATTAATTGTCCAGCGATAATACCATCAGGCTGTCACCTCCACATACTCTTACCCTCTCCAGTAGCTTGTATAAAGCTGACTTCCTGCTGCTTCAGTGGGCATTTAAATGACAACCAGGCTGGTGTGGATTGAAGTCATTGTAACCAAGACCAGGAAAGGACCACAGGTTACCAACCAGAATTTTAATACCCATTTGAAAGTTTTCTGGTCATTTTTACTGGTAGTCAAAGGAGGACCCAGTTTCACAGAGTGCTGTAGATCAGAGGGAGGGAACTGCAGTGTTCAGGATTCGATCTCCAACTTTGTACCACCCCTGAATGATATACCTCACTGATTGGATGTCACAAAGGTAAGGCAATCATATCGCTAGCCTGGTAATCCATAGACCTCAGTATTGTTTCTGAGGGTGTGGGTTCATATCCCAACCTGGCAGATGGTGGAGTTTGAATTCAAATAAAATCCGGTGTTAAAAATCTAATTATCATGAAACCATTGTCACAAAATTCTGACCGGTTCCCTACTGCCCTTTAATGCAATGGCCTAATATTTTGTACATTACAGTGCACCATGTTGTCCTATCCCACAGACCCAGCACAGGTTATATACAGTCACGAGGGTGATGCCTTGGGAATTCTGAACATTGACGCTGAACCCCTCTGCATTAGGTCAAACATGGACAAGGAAACCTCCTCCTGCTTATCACATACCATCCCTGGAGGAAGCACTGACAGTGGGAGTTTGTGTCCACCACCAAGAGTGGCTCGGCAGCTGTACTACTGATCGAGCTGGTCGGGTCCTAAAGGACATAGCTGCTAGACTGGGTCTGCGGCAGGTGGTGAGGGAACCAACAAGAGGGAAAAACATACTTGACCTCATCCTTAACAATCTGCCAGCTGCAGATGTATCTGTCCATGACAGTATTGGTAAGAGTGACCACCGCATAGTCCTTGTGGAGACAAAGTCGTGCCTTCACATTGATAGTACCACATAACACGATGGAAGTTATTATCACCGTGCTAAAAGGGACAGACTTTGAACAGATCAAACAACTTCAAGACTGGGCATTCACAAAACACTATGGACCATCAACAGCAGCAGAATTGGGATTGTATCTGGCACATAGGAAGATGGTTGTGGTTGTGAAGGTCAGTTGTCTTGCCTCCAGGAGTTCTGCAGGGCAAATATTTTCTAATCAACCTGCTCTGTGATGTTATTTACACGCCTGTGGAGCAGGTGAGTCTTGTATCTGGACCTCCCTGGCTCAAATGTAGGGACACTACCACTGCATCACAAGAGCTGTAGTTTTTTTTTAAAACCTAATTTTCCAATCAACCTGTTATTGCACACCTCTGGAGCTGTTGGGACTTGAACACGGACCTCCTGGTCCAAGGGTGGGGACACTACCACTGCACCATAACAACCCCAGATTGTCAGGGGTGGTGTCCTGGGCCCAGCAACCTTCAGCCACTTCATGACCTTCCCTCATGTCGATTGTTATAGAAGTCCACCTGGTTCACTATTGTCATAGAGTTGAAGGAATTCTGCCATTTTCACTTGGTCTGGCCTACATGTGACTCCAGGCAGCAATCTGAGTTGTAGTATTCCAGTTGTGGTTTGACCAGTACCTTTTGTATAGTTTTAGCAAAACCTCATCATTTGTATACTCCATTCCCCTCAAAATTAAGGCCAGCATTCCATTTGACTTTACTGAGCTGTTAATCTTGGGTGCTAGTATTTTGTGGATGAGAATTCCCAAATCCCTCAGTACTGCAGCTTCCTCTGGTCTTTCTCCATTTAAATAATATTCAGCTCCTCTATTCTTCCTGCCAAAGGGCATTACCTCACATTTCCCCGTATTATATTGCATGTGATGTGTTTCTGCCCACTCATGTAACCTGTTGATATCACTCTTCCTTTGTATTGTCCTCTGTGTGCCTTCCCACCTACCTCTGTACTGTAATCAAACTTGGTAATGGCTGCAGAACTGAAGTAGGGTTTCAAAATTAGTTCCTTGAAATAAGGTAATAAAGTGAGATCCTAAATGCCTGTTCCAGTTTTTAAAAAAAAAACATGGCTGAACAATGTGATGGTTCATTTGCGGTTTAAGGGATCTTGTGATGCTCATGTTGACTGACTTTAACACCGTTATGATATTGTTTGCACCACAACACTCATGCAACCAGGTGACAGACTGAGGATTATATGTGATGTGGAGATGCTGTTGGACCAGCCTGGACAAAGAAATCACACAACACCAGCTTATAGTCCATCAGGTTTATTTGAAATCACAAGCTTTTGAAGCACTGCCTCCCTCATTAGGTGAAAAGTAATATCCAGAAAGGGACAATATTTTCCAGGCTGCTGGACTGTCACTTTTCCAGGGTGAAAGGGGAAGTTTTAAGCCCCTATTTGTAGATTCTCAAAGAATGTGCCAACTTTTAGTTGATATTTTTGGTTCAGTAAATTCTGGAGATAAGCATGAAAACTACAACTGAAGCAGTTTAGGGAAATGGAGCAGAGCTATGTTGATGATGGAGCACAAGTTAATCAATAGCTATTTCAATCCATTAACCTGAACAATCCATATTTATAATACAGTTAACGTTAGAAAAGGTTAGTGTCAGACATCTTGTGTGTCTTGGATCACAGGGTGTATCCAAGTGGTTCTTTTTGAATTTGGTTAAATATAGTTAAGAGAAGACTCGAGAATAGCAATTTGCTTAAATATGAACATTTATTGAGTAATAATAAAAGATGGAAAAGGAAGGAAAAGAAAGCCCCATGCCGTCCTGCCCGTTGGGGACCCCTCGATAACGGCTGGTCTGGAGGTTTTGGTTTGTTCCTGGCACTGTTCAGAATCCTGGTCCAAGGTGAAGTCCGATGACTTGGAATGAAGCTCCTTCCCTTATACAGTGTAACAAACACCCAGTACAGAAAAGCAACTTTGATTATGCCGTCTTCAGCATGTACAGAAATGTTCACAGGATTCATGCAAGGCCGCACGGCTTGTGGAATATCATCAACAATTTTAGTCCTTCAGCCCATCCTATACACCAAGTCACTTCACAGGGCAGTTATTAAACACATTTAGCACCACAGCAGCAGACATTAACACAAGTCGTTCAAAGCTTAGTCAGCAAATAGGATTTTAAAAAGCATTTTGTTTTTGCAGTCTTAAATGTAATGTGGAAGTTGCTCACTAGGCAAAGATAGACTGGTATTGAATGTTCACTAGGCTGATTCCACATATGAAGGGAGTGTTTTATGACGAGATATTGAGTAGATAAAGCCTGTACTCACTGGGGTTTAGAACAATAAAAACAAAACAAATCTTAACTTCCTTGATTATCCATGGTTCATTCATCCCTTCCTAGAATCCTTCTGCCTGACTGGACTGTGTCTTTGCTATGAGCCATGAACTATTTTCATAAATATCTGCTATTAATCCTTGACCATTTTGCTGCTAAACTGCTTTGCCAGTCCACTCCAACCAGTACTGCCTTTATTCCTTTGTAATCAGCCTTAAGCAGCTTAGCCCCATTGTTTCCAACAGAAGTTCCTCCCTCTCACAAAGAATGCTAAATTCTACTATGCTATAGTCACTATTTCCAAGGGGATGACATTGACATTTTACTCAGCTAGCAGGCAGCTGTGTAAACACTACTTCCAATGAGCGTGGAGTTACTCATTTTCAAAAACATGCACTAATCTTTGGTTTTCCAAAGAGGAGTTCTTTACTTTTGTTATGGACCAAAATAAGGACAGAATTTAAAGAAAAAGAAGAAAAATTCTGGCGGGAAGGCAGTGGGGGGCAAGAGATGGTGGAAGGAGAGTGGTGGGGGGTCAGGGCGGCATGCTCCTGAGACAAGATTACTGATCCTCATTACTGACCTACTTTATCTTAACACATAATCCTCCACTTTAACAGAATCAGGATTTAGGTTCTCGTTTGGGAAAGTGACATTTGTTTCATACAATTAACCAAAATTCAAAATTGATTGAAAAGCAGTGGTCGGAAGTGATTGCACCGGAATTTTAAAAGAAGCAAAAAAAAAAAAAAACAAAACAACCACAACACAATTCTACTCTGACCCTGTAATGTTTGGCACCATAAACTGGTTGCTAGTGCAAGAAATTTGCAAAATGGCATTGGGTGTAAGAGGTCTAGAGCTGGTTTTCAACATCTACAAATAAAAAAATTGTGCCATCTCCTCTGATGAAAGTAACTTGTTAAGTAACTGTCTAGGAGTATAGAATGCTAACAGTAGGGCTCATGGTGCAGTGGTAGTGTCCCCATCTTTAAGCCAGGAGACCTGGGTTCAGGTCTGACCTGCTCCCGAGATCAGGAAATGATATCCAAACAGTTTGTTTAGAAAATGCCTAGAACTCTGAACAGTGCTGAAAGGAGTTGGAGTCAGAGATATTAGATCTGTCAGCTGTATGGTGCAGTGACTGAGACCATATCAAACATGTCCCACTGACTATTTGCAGAATCAATTGCATACAACCAGCCACTGCACACAAGCCTCAGTGCATTATGGTTAGTGGTGATTTTATTGGACAGCACTTAAGAAATAATCCAGACTGTGCTAAGCAGCACACTGGAAGACAATTTAAGATTAGTCAGCTTGAGAGATACACTGTATTATAGATCTTTTATATTAATACACAGGACCCTCCTTTATGTAGGCAACTGGCATTTGTACATAAATTATACATTTAAATCAATAAGGAAGAATGGGGTCATGGAGATTGGCAATCTTTGCCATATACCATAGCAACACTGACTAGATTTTACACATCTGTTCTGAGACCCAAGAGTGACACTTAGTTTCTGCTGCATCTCCAATAGTTGGGCCATCATTACCAATGAGTTCCCTTTTCCCCACATAGTCTACATTGGTGTCTCTTACGATAGTTGGTTTCTAGTATCCTAGTCCTGCTGAGTGCAAGGCAGAAAGTCTCAACTCGTCTTTTAAGCAACGCGTCTGTCTTTAAAGAACGGAGTAAAAATGCACTTTAGTTATAGACAAAAAGAAAATGTCAGGGCAAAGGCAGGCTCCAAAAGCCAGGAAAATCCAAAAGAAAAATAGTTTAAAAAAATCAGCTTTTATTATAATCACTTAAACCAAAAGAAAACAACAAAATGATTTTTTGAAAGAAGGTACACAGTCAGGGGAAACCAGAACCCACAGTTATTTACACAGGTCACAGACAACACACTTACACATGGTAGCTCTCACCAGTATCAGAAATAGTTTTAATTCATTTTTAAAAGTAAAATTGAAGAATTGAAAAAGAGGTTGATGGACAGTGATGGAATAATTTAAAAAGGTTAGAAAATTGTGATGTTTTTAATAACCATTTCTCTATTCAGCTCCTACAACACAGCAAACCATTGGCCCAGTTGTGGGTTTCAGAACTGTGGAAGGAGAATGGCCAGGAGATTTCAGAGAGGGATTTCCAGAATGAGGCCCAAGCAGCTGATGTTATGGTGACCAAATGGTAGAGCTGGTTGTGTACAAAGCAGCAGAGCACAGAGATCACAGAAGGTTGTGGAAGAAAAGTTATATATAAATGGGTTACTGGGAGAGATTTAAAAACAAGGAGGCAAATTTTAAAATGGAAGCAATGTTGGAGAGGAGCCAACATTAAGACAGTGAGTTCCTGCATCAGCTTGGGGTGATCAAAGTGTTAACTGTCAGCATCCTATCACTCTTATTCCATTTGTAGGTATGAGACTGGTGTTGCTGTAACTATAAAAAAAAAGTCCCTTTACAAGCAGGATCTAAGGATGATCCCCTTCATTCTAACTCCTTTTAAAAAAAAAAATCCTTTTCTTTCAAGCTGTAGCCAAAAGTGAAACGAAAAAGCTTGTGAAAGGTACCAAAGCCATAGATGAATAAGGTGTTTCAGCTCAGGAATTAGTTTCTTTTCAGTAATTAAACAACAGGATACTTTGGTTATAGCCATTAGATCTTGGGAGGAGTAGGTGGTTCAGCCCTTTGAGCCTGTTCCACCATTCCATACAATCATTGCTGATCTGGGTTGTGATTGCAACTCCACTTTCCTATCTATCCACTCCCAGAACCCATGACAACAAAAATCTCTAACTCAGTTTTGAATAAACTTAAAGACCCACATTCCACTGGAGGAAGAGAATGGCACAGGGTAGCAATCTTTACAACAGCAAACATTTACACCTGCCTTAAAGGTAGACCTCATTTTCTTAAACTTGGAAACCACCCCCTCCCCACCTTTAGTCTCTTGCACAAGTGGAAATAGCCTCTGGGGTATACCCCCACCCCCAAGTCTTCAGGAAGTTTCTTTCAGTAAGATCACCTCATTCTTCTGAGCTATAATAGGTACGGACCTAACCTGCTCAACCTTTCCTCAGAGCAAGGTCAGAGGTGGTTAAGCACCCTTGGAACTCTTCCTCACAGCTAGTAAAAGCAGTCTTTTGATATTCTGAAGACAGTAGAGAGATTCTTGGTAAGCAGGGGTGGAGTGAAAGGTTATCAGAGGGAGGTGGGAACGCAGAATTATCAAATCAGCCATGATCTTACTTGAATGGAGGAACAGTCCCAAGGAGTGAGAGACCTACTCCTGCTCCTAATTCATATGTTCATAAGAAAGTCCTTTCAAAAAAAAAACAACTTAGGAATGTGGGGGAGTCCCCAAAAATCAAAAGCCAGGAATTAACGAGAGAGAGAGAGAGAAAAATCTAAACCCTTCCCAATGTAGGCTAGATGTGGTGAATAATTTTTAATCTTGACATTGAATCAAAAAGGGTTCTGTACTACATCTTACCCAAGCACAGAAACAAACTTGGAACTTCAAGTCAGTAGTTGACAAATTGGGAAGTGTGCAGGGCCATAGAGAGAGCGCTGGGGTGGGGGTGTGGTGGTTAATTTTCCATGGGGTGTGACAAGGCCATCATTTGTTGTCCATCACCAATTGCTCAAAAAAAAAAAGGAAGTGACTTGCCCAGGCCATTTCAAAGACAGTGAAGAGTCAAACACTAACTCCAGACCCACAGCAATATTGGCCAGACCATGCAAGGATGGTAGATTTCCTTCTGTGAACCAGGCAGGGTTTTGTAACAATGATAGCTTCACAGTAAGCTTTACAAGACTAGCTTTTTATCTCAGAATTAAAGTGTAAATTCCAGCAGTTGCCATAAATGGGACTGAATCCTAGTCTCTGGGTTACCAGTTCACCAATATTAGTGTATGCCACCCATCTCTTGGCCATGTCCGAAAGAGCCAGCATAGGCAATAATGGGCTGAATGGCTTCTTTCCATACTCAGCCATGTTTCTTTTTTCATCCTACTTCCCAGAATTCAGTTCTTAAACTTTTCCACAAGTTCCTGAATAGAATGACCAGTGAGTGAATCAGTGAGTTTGTACAAAGACAAAGTATTTACAGAATGAACTCAAACCACTGGTTTAAAAAGGAAACATAGAATTTCTTACCCCATTTTAAAATCAACTTTAAATACAATCAGCTCAAAAGCCAAGAATCTAACAGCCCACTTTAATATAAAAGCTTTAAAGCTGGATTCAGAAACCTTAAAGGCATTACTCAGCCAAAGCATAAACTCACACCCAAGAATATGACTCCATGTGAAGAAAGGAATGTTTTAGTGTTTGTATAATCAAAGTTAAATGGAAGCAACTAAAAGATAACTTCACTTTCCTGATGCAGTGAACCTTAACTGTTTAACTAGTCTCTTAATTGAAAGTGTTCATTTATTGCCAAAAACAAAAACACCCACATAAATAAAGAGAGAGAGAATGCAAAAACAAAACAAAAAAAAAAAACTGGAGTAAATGGAGCATGCTGTAGAACAAGTGTCTCTTGTATAATAAGACCTCAGGAGGTGCCGGGAACCATGGCTGTAGCTGTTGCATCTCTTGCGGTAGAGAGAAAGTCAGCTGTTTTACTGTCTACACTTCAAGGCTTCAACCAACCTGAAAGAAAAAAGTGCCAATTTAATCTATTAAGAAATATCTTCACAGGCCCTGGCATTAGGACCCAGTTTATTTCCATGAGCTTACAACTTGCCTACGCTGTAACGCCCAAGGGCCATGGAGCAAGCACTAGCTAAAGCAGGCAGCGTTTCTGATAGCTTTCTGTAAAGTTTATTCATAGGACGTGGGCATTGCTGGCTGGACCAGCATTTGCTTGTTCCTAGTTGGCCTTGAAAAGTTGGTGGTGAGCTGCCTTCTTGTATTGCTGCAGTTCGTGTGCTGTAGGTAAACCTACAATGTCCTTGGAGGTGGGAGGGGTGGAAATTCCAGGATTCGGACCCAGCAACAATGAAGGAACAGCAATACATTTCCAAGTAAGGGTGGTGAGTGGCTTGGTGCGGGACTTGCAAGGGCTGGTGTTCTCATGCATCTGCTGTCCTTGTCCAGGTAGATGGAAGCAGTTGTGGTTTGGAAGGTGCTGTTTCAATGATCTTTGGTGAATTTCTGCAAAACATCTTGTAGATATTTGCAAGTGCGTACCGAGTGTCAGTGATGGAGGGAGAGGATGTGGTGCCAATAAAGTAGGCAACTTTTCCTCTATGCTGTCAAGTTTAGTGTTGTTGGAGCTGCACCCATCCAGGGAAATGGGAAGTATCCATCACACTCCTGACTTGTGCCTTTTAGACCGAGGACAGGGTTTGGGGAATCACCCACTGCAGTATTCCTAGTCGGACCTGCTACATAGTCACTGTTTATGTGGCAGGTCCAGTTGAGTTTCTGGTCAATGGTAACCCCCCCGCCAAGGATGTGGATAGTGGGGGAATTCAGGATTGGTAACACCACTGAATGTTGAAGGGGCAACAGTCAGATTGTCTCTTATTGGAGATGGTCATTGCCTGGTGTTTGTGCCATCATAGACAGAAACTTATGGTGTAAATTCAGAGACGTGGAGCCCTTAAGCAGTGATCAAAGATTGACTACATTATATTTTATCTGAAGACGAGGCAAGAACATGCCCTCAAGCTGCTCTGTATTCCGTAAAGTCCTGCATGAACCCTTCCCTCAGCACCACCTTCTCTCCCCCTCTAAGCTCCCTTTTTAATATATTAATCAGTCTTGAATATATTCAGTGACAAAATATTCACAAGTCTTTGCAGTAGAGTAGTACAAAGATTCACAGCCTGTTGATGGGCCTAACAACCTTTTGTAGGTTGAGTTAACACCAGTACAGATTCAATAATGAAAAACACATTTACTCATTGGTTCCATGGTTCATTCAAAGCTAGAGCATAAAACCTTCTGCAAGCCATAAGCTGGCAGAGAAAACAATATAGCTATGTGAAAAAGCATTCCACTCAGGATGCTGGCATGGCTTGTGAAGCCAGCATTTATTCAGCATAGTTCTTAAGGTGGTGCTGCTGGGCTACACTGTGGGACCACTGCAGTCCACACCAGAAAGGTGCTCCACAGATAGTAATGTTGAGAAGAATTGTATTTCCTTCCTAAGTTTAGAGATGGTGCAAACATCAGTGAAAATCTCCATGCTCAGTACTATTTACAACTCCTCAGATACTAAGCAATCTATCTCCCAATACAGAAAGACTGACAGCACCCAGGTTTAGGATGAACAGTGGCAACTAACATTTGCACTACACTAAGTGCCAGGCAATGACCATCTCAAACAAAAAACCAAACCCTTATCCCTTGATATTCAATGGCAATAATCACCAAATCCTCCTCCCTATCAACATCCTGGGCATTATCATTGACAGCAATTGAACTGGACTAGCCATTATAAATACTGGGGCTGATACAGCTACACAAATGCTAGGACTAGAAGTCCAGGTCAGAGGCTGAGAATTCTATGGAGAGTAGCTCAACTCCTGGCTCCCCAAAACCGGTCCACATTTATAAAGTGTTCAAGTCAGGAGTGCGATAGAATACTCACCATTTGCCTGAATGAATGCAGTTCCATAATACAAGCAACTTGACAACATCTTGGACAAAGCAACATACTCCTGATATCACAGCCACCACCACCACCACTCACTCCCTCTACCCTGATAGAGAGAGGCAGCAGTGTGTACCAACTACAAGATGGACTGTAGCAAATCATCAAGGTTCCTCAGACAGCACCTTCCAAGCCCACAAAAGGACAGCTGAGAAGTGGGACTACCACATGCAAGTTCCCATTCAAGCCACACACCACTGAGTCAGAACTATATGACCATTCCTTCACTGACACCAAGTATCCTGGAACAACCTCTAAACTGCACTGAGGATCTGCACCCATCATTTATGTGCTCCAGCTGCTCACTACAGCATTTTCAAGGATGTTATAGATGAACAATATATACTGGCCTAGTCTGATACCAAAATGCTATTAGTTAATATAAAAAAGAAAAACATTACAAGATCTATGCCACTCCCGTCTTTTCATCCTGTCCTCTGAAATCAGAAACTCCACTGAATATTTCAGACCTGGCTGTGGCTACTTTGCAAGCATGCCTCTTAAAAAAGATTCATGGATTTATGTCTGAGAAATCAATTAATATTGTTACAAATGCTATGCATATTACACTAAAGAATCCAATTAATAGCAAGTCAAAGCCTCAGCTTATCATTTCATCTAAAAGACAGTAGTTCAGGCAGTGCAGCACTCCCTCAGTAAATATGATACTATATACTCAAATCTTGCATTGGAATTTGAACACTTCATCTGAATCAAGAGGCAAAAGATCTACCTGCTGAGCTAGCATTACTTAAAGGTTGTCCTATTTATCACTACAATAATTACCAGTCCATTGCCTCGTCCAGTCCATAACCTTTGGTTGCAGATGTCTTGAATATCTGCCACTTCCGATCCTTCATTGCTGGCAAACCAAGTGAATTGGCCACATCTGTGGGAGTCATAGCCTGCTCCATATCCTGCTTATTTGCAAAAACAACTAAAACAGCCTTCTTCAGTTCCTCCTCCTGCAAGCAAACAGACACACTGTGACCAAATGGCTGTGGGTTTGTAAAGGATAGAAAGGTGATTAAATGAAGCAGACTAAACCCACACAAAATTTCATTGGAGATTATGAAACAAGGCCAGTAGTCCTGGACTACTTCAGGGAGTGTTGGCCTGGATAATGGGAACAGCTCTCCTAATCTTCTTTAGAAGATTACCATTAGGTATATTATTCACTTTTTTTTTTGTGTGGGGGGGGGGGGGGGGGCATTGGATACTGACTTTAACATTTCATCTCAAAGACAGCTCCTCCAATACGGCAGTGTCTCCACAGCATTGGCACTCAGCATGCCAATTTAGATTATGTTAAATAAGAGTAAAGCTAATGGGGACTATTAGTAGCTGACAATGGGCTGTTTATTGTAGCAGCCCATGTGATAGCAGGGTGTGGAGGTTGGGTGAAGGTGCTCAGACCCTGAAGTTATGGAATTCAATGCTGAGTCCCAAACAACCTTTTCCCATCTATAAATTCAGCGCTGAAGGGTCACTAGACCTGAAAAGTTAATTGCTTTCTCTCCAGATGCAGCTAGACATGCTGAGCGTTCCCAATTTGTTTTTGTTACTACATTTATTAACTTAGATTATATCAAGTCTCTGAAGTAGATTGAGACTTGAAATTGTGACCTTCTGGCTCTCATGCGAGTGAGCTTCCCACCAAAATCCCTCATCCTTGGTATATTCCAAGAAAATCCATCTGCATCCTCTAAGATCTTGACATCCTTCCGTAAGGGAGGCAAGGATCTCTCTCAGTAGGGCAGATAGCTAGACAGCTAATAAGAGTTGGCAGAGTCAGGTCTAGTTTTAATGATGGCAGATTAACATTTACAAAGGGATTTTACTGAGAATTAAATATATTGGACTGGGACTATCAATCCCACATTGAGGGTAGAGTAGTTTTTCACTACAGGCTAACAATGAACATCATTTTGATGCAAGTAGCAACTTTGGCATGGCTTTATTTGAAGGACTAGTATGCTCAATAAAAGTGAGCCCACTGCTTAAATAACTTCTGTACAAATTAGATACACTTTGAAAAAATGACACCTCTTTAGAAGTGCAGATGAACATACAACTGATAGCAAGAAAAATCAGTTGTAGAATTATCCAATGAGGTCAAAGCTCCTTGTTAAACCCATCATCACAATATAATGCTCACACTTACATAGCACTTCATAGTGTAAGGGATTTTGAGAGATTCTTAAGTGAGGATTTACTTGTCTCTGCCTCTAAAAGAGCGGATTGTAATTATAATCAGAGAACTAACCCTGGGTGACATTGATTACCTCACTGAAAATAAAAAACAACAAGCAGGTCAGCTCACATCTGCAAAAGCCTCAGCATAATGCATCAGAAGCATTAACTTAAAACTTTCCTGTTAGTTTTTGATGGCCTGTGTGTACGTGCAGCATTTAATTGTCTCTTTAGTGATTTTGCATCTGTGCTTTTTTGTTTAGAAAGCACATTATCACTAGGCCCTTCTACAAATTCAGCTCAACGTCTAAAGTCCATTCAGCAATCATTAAATATTCAAGGAATCCACAGGACTGTTTTTTCTTACCTCCAACATGGCAACAAGTTCAGACTTGGAGATTCCCATTCTGTCCCGGTCACAACTGTCTACTACATAGATGACAGCATCTGTGTTGGAGTAATAACAACGCCAGTAAGGCCTGAAAGACAGAATGAATATACAAATACACTGAAATGGTTTTAGTGGAAACCACTTTGTATTTGAAAATTAAAGTACTGTGCAAACCCAAAAAAAAAAAATGTAAAATGATTACATTCAAGTAACATGCAAACAGCATAAACTGTGCCAGGTAGCAGGGAAAAAGGAGAGAAGAACACATTTTAACAAAAACTTGCATTTGTTTAGCAGCTTTCAAGATTTCAGGATATTCCAAAGTGTTCAGTCTTTTCTTTTCTACAGAAGTGTCCTGACACTTAACCTCAGTCCTTCCAGATTTTCAAAAATCTTTTCTAGTGCCTCACATTTTTGGAATATACAGACTAGACTGTTTACAACACTGCAACTGTGGTTAAAATAAAGTTTTCAAATATGGTTTCATATAACTCAATTTCATCCCCTAGAAAATGGATACAAACTGTTTTGTTTTCAAGACTGCCTACCTTCACATCAGTCTCTACTTTTAGTGAACTGTCACTGTATTTCCAGAGCACCACTTTTCTATCCTGATCGCAACATTTTCAGAGGAGTGCACAGCCTTCTCATTAAGACCATAAGAAACAAACAAACAGGAGTGGGCTGTTCAGGCTCTCAAGCCTGCACTGCCATTCAACAGGCTAACTGATCCAACATTCCTCACATCCACTTTCCTGCCTTTTCTCCATAAACCTTGATTCTCCCACTGATCAAATCACTATCAAAAACGTACTGCCTTCCACTTACCTATGGTGAAGTTTGTTTGCTAATGTACTGGCCCATTTAGTAAATTCTTTGTCATCTTCTTGCATCATTGGGCTCCATTGCTATTTCAACTTCCCAATTTGGATTCACCTGCAAATTCTGAAAAATGTCAAGTCCTACCTAACTGTCCGTACAAATGGTGGACAGTGGTCTCAGCAGCAATCCTGGTGAAACAGCACTTGCTACCTTTAAGATCAGCAGGCTATTTTCTTTTCGTAGCCAGTCCTTTTTTAATAAAGCTCATGGGCAAGATGTGAGTGGCACTGACAAGGCCAGCAGTTATTGTCCATCTGTAATTTCTCCAAGGCAGTGGCTGCCTAGACACCCATTTGCGATCCCTTTCAGCTACTTGAAATCACATCCTATAACCACACATTAACATTGTGGTAGTGTACTGACAAGCAATTTGTTTCATTAGATAAAGCACCCCGTTTTACTTACAGACAGAAGGTAATGTTGTTAATAACAAAAAAGTGAGCATTTTCATACCGAATACTGGTCTGTCCACCCAAATCCCACACTTGAAACTTAAGGTTCTTGTAGGTTACTGTTTCAACATTGAAACCAATTGCTGTAAAACAAAAACAATTGCATCATTTCAGTCACTTATTGTAAATGGTTATGTCTGATTACAATGGTACTTCTGTTCCAGTAGAACAGATTTTCTTCCATCTTATTTCTGTACTCTGCTAACATACAAGCTAAATAGCTGTCAGACATAAACATAACAGCAAGATACTGGAAACTTGAAATACAAACAAAATGTTGGAAATACTTGGCAGATCAGGCAGCACGTGGAGACAAACAGTTAACCTGTCAAGTCAATGACATTAGGCCTACTGGCCCACCAAGCCTGCGCCAATTCCTACTTACTGCCCATATGAAATTTCCTCCCTCCATTTGCCTGCTGTTCATGTATCCATCAAGATATGCCTTAATCGTTGCTAATGTACCAGCTTCCAGCATCTCCATTAGCAGTGAATTCCAGGCACCCACCACACACTGAGAAAAATTTCCCTGCACTTCCTCCTAAAAGCGTTCCCCCCACCTTTCACCTTGAACCAGCGCCCTCTTGTAGTTGATCTTTCCACCCTGAGAAAAAGTCTGACTATCTACCTCATTCATGCTTCAATTTTCTAGACCTCTATCTGGTCACCCTTCAGCCTGTCTTTTCAGTGAAAAACAATCCAAGTTTATCCAACCTCTCAAACCCTCAAGACCAGGCAACATCCTGGTAAATCTTCTGAACCCTCTCCAAAGAATCTACATCCTTCTAGAGAATGGCAACCAGAACTGCATGCAATATTTCAAATGTGGCCTCAAGCTTTATACAGCTGCAACATAATTTGTTAACTTCTTTATTTGACCCTGGCCAATGAAGGCAAGTGTGCTGTATGCCTTCTTGACCACCTTATCAACTCGTGTTGCCACATTCAGGGATCTGTAGACCTGCACGCCTAGATCCTTCTGCATGTCAATGCTCCCAAGAGTTCTACCATTTATTGTATAATTCACATCTCAATTTGACCTTCGAAAATGCATCATCTCATTTGCCTGGATTAAACTCCACCTGTTATTTCTCTGCCCAAATCTGCAATCTATATCCTGCTGCATCCTTTGACAATCATCCTAACTATCTAAAGCTCTGCTAATTGGCGTCACCCACGAACTTACTGATCAGATCTACAAATTTTCCTCCTGATCATTTATATATTACAAACAAAGGTCCCAGCACAGACCCTGTGGAACACCACTGGTTATTAATCTCCATTCCAAAAAGCACCCTTCCACCACCTCGGTCTTCTATGAAGAAAGCAGCTTTGTATCCATTCAGTCAGCTCACCCCAGATTCCATGAGACTACCTTTTGTACCTGCATGTCATGAGGGACTTTCCCAAGTGCCTTACTAAAGTCCACAGACAGCATCCACTGCATTTCCAATCAATCATTCTGGTCACCTCTTTACAAAACTCAATCCAGTTGGAGACACACAACATAAACCTGCACAAACCCATGCTGCCTATCACTAACAGGTCAACTTGCTTCCAAATATGAATAAATCCTGTGTCAGTATCTTCTCCAACAGCTTCCCCACCACTGACATCAGGCTCACCAGCCAGCAACCACCTGGATTATCTGTTTTCCTTCATAACGATAAGATGACGAATCAGCCATTCTCCAGTCCTCTGGAGCCTCACCCAAGGCCAAAGAAAATGCAAAGATATCCGGTACGGCTCCAGCTATTTCCTCCCTTGCCCCCCACAGCATCGTGGGATCCCACCTGGCCCGGGGACGTGTCAACCATAACACATTCCAAGATGCCCGACACCACCCCCAGCAGGGTGGCAACACACAAACACCTTTCCCTAACCTCACATCCTGACGTCCCTCTTCAGTGAATACATCTGGCTCCACACAACCCCCTTCCTTTATTTTAGAGTGGGCCTTCTCTTTCCCCAGCTACTCTCTTGTTCCTAATATATGTATAAAATGCCTTGGGGCTTTCCATAATCCTGCTGGCCAAAGACATTCCATAGCCCTCAACTCCCCATTTGAGCTCCTTCCTACTTTCTCTATCCTCAAATAGCTGCTCCCAATTCACATCCTCCAATTCTTGGTTAATTCTGTTTTAGTTAGTCTTCCCCCAATTTAACATCTTCATCCGAGTTCCACTCTTGTCCTTACCCATAATTATCTAAAAAAAAAAATTACAGAATTATAGTCAGTGTTCCCAAAATGCTCCCCTATTGACACTTGGATCACCGACCAGACTCATTTCCCAATATCAGGTCCTGTATGGCCCCCTCCCTCCTTGGGATATCCACATACTGTTTTAAAACACCCTGCTGTACACCTAACAAATTGCTCCCCATCTATACACCTGGCACTAAGGGAGTCCCAGTCAATATGAAGCAGAGGTTAAAATTGCCCTCCACAACCACCTTATTTTCACATCTTTCCAGAATCTGACTATACATCTCTTCTGCTATCTCCCACTGGCAGCTGGGAGGTCTGTAGTGCAATCCTGATTGCACCCTTCCATTCCCAAGCTCTACCTAAAGCACCTTACTGCAAGATTCCTCCAGGGTGTCCTCCCTTAACAGCCTTGATGTTCCCCAACCAGTAATGCAACTCCACCACCACTTTCACCTCCTCCATCTCATCTAAAAAACATTAAGCTGCCCAATTCTGTCCCTCTTTCAACTACGTCCATCTTACATGTTGTACTTGCATTGAAGCAAATACAGGCCAAGCCTCTAAGTCTGCTGAGCTCAGCAACCTCTCTCTGCCCTTGCTCATGGATTTGTCTTACTCTCAAGCTCTTCCCCAGTCTCAATACTTATTGACTTGCTGCTCTGGTTCCTACCCCCCACCACACTAGTTTAGACCACTAAGTGGCACTATCAAACTTCCCTGCCAGGATAGTGGCACCCCTCCAGTTTAGGTGCAACCCAACCTTCTTGTGCAGGTCGAATTTTCCCTGGAAGACTTTCCAACAATCCACATAGCTGAAGCCCTCCCTCCTATACCAGCTTTTTAGTCACATGTTCAAATGTACTCTGTTCCTAGTCTCCATATCACATGGCACAGTGAGTAAGCCTGAGATTACTAAGCTATTTTGAAATATTGAACTCACTGCACAGCATCTCCAGAACGGTGTTTTTAAAATGGTGGATATATTTATGTGAGATTCGGCAAGTTGCCATTTGTAGGATCATTCATGTTTAGCAATAAACAAAAAACTTACGTTGACATAGCTCTTTAAAGCATTGTTTTGTAGCACTGCTGATCAAAAAATTGGACATTGAGCCATAAGGAGCTATTATGACAGGTAACCAGAAAGCAATATTCTAAGGGTTTGGTTTTAAGGACTTTCTTTTAAAAAAAAAAAAAAAGGAGCTAAGTAGGGAGGCAGTGAGGTGTAGGAATAGAATTTCAGACCTTTAAGATTTAGGCAGCTCACGTCACAGTTACCAATAATTAAGGAAATTAGGACACAGACAGAAATGCAAAGTGCAAAGATCAGAGAGTTCCACTGTATCAAGGCTTTTCTACCCAATCAACCTGCTCAGAAACGTTAATGATACACCTCTGGAGCAGGTAGGACTTGAATCTGGGCCTCCATTAAAATTAGACATAGGGTATTCAATGGTGAAATCAAGAAGCATTTCTCACCACAGTAACACGAGTTGGCTATTCAGCACAGAACCTGTCTTGCCATTCAAACAGATTATGGCTGATGGGTGGCCTAATACTATACTTACCTTTGGCCCATATCCCTTAAATACCTTTGAACAAAAATTTCAGATTTAAAATTAACAACTGATTTAGCATCAACTGCCATTTGTTAGGGAATTCCAAACTTTTACCACCCTTTGTGTGCAGAAGAGTTTCCTAACATCTCTTGATGAGTCAGCCATTAACTTGTAAGGCTGTCAACCTACCTTGATGGGCCAAACAGCCTCTTTCTGCACTGTAGGGATTCTATGATTCTACCAAGTTAAGTTTTGAAAGCCAGAAAGTTTAAAAGGTAGTGCCTTGGAGGGGGAAAGGTGTGCAAACATAAAACATCCATGGACAAACACATTCCTGCTAAATACGGTCTTTTGCGGAAAGGCCGGACATGCTAAATTTGTATTGGCATAGTTTGGAAAAGTAAGGGGCAGTTTAATTGAAACAAGATTGAGGGGTCTTGGCAGGGTGGATTCTACAACCAAGTGTTATTGTTTCAAAACAAAAAGGCTGTCCATTTAAAAGCAGAGATAAATGTTATGCCTAACAGGAGCGCATTGGAAGTCAAAGCCCCATTATTCTACAAGCTATACAATTGAAAAAGTGCATTGCCTTATTCAATCAAAACTTCAATTGGCTCTATTTATGACAATTAACTAGAACAAATGAGTCTTTCACCAGGCTTTTCAATAAATTCAATAACATATGCATTAGAGGCAATGCATTCTTCAAAGAAATGGCAGACAGGTTATCAACTAAGCTACTACATGAATTAGCCAATTTACTTAATCCAATCCACACTTTAAACAAAGACATACATACACAGCTCTGCAGGGCAATTATAAATGGGAAAATAGGGAAAACAAGAGTTCAAACAAAAAGGACTCATTTCTCAGTTCCTACTGTTCCTGGAAGATAGATTCATGTCAGTAAAAGTTGCAGAATGATGGGAAACTGTCAGAACTACATTTCCGATTTAGATGAGAAATGGTTAGGACTCTTGATGTTTGAAACTCAGGATCTTTTTAAAGTATTTCTAACATTTCTAATTTAGGATGCTTTCAGCTCCAAGCTTGGACTTGTACAAACAGATAGTACTGCATCCACGCAAACTTCTCTGCAATTGCTCACAGCTTCTAGGTGTAGGCTGAAAAAACTATTTCCTCAGTCAAGAGGCTGTTGCTAGGCAATGGCCACTGGGGCATTTCAGGTCTGGTTGCTCAACAATTAAAACTATAGAATGCCACCTTTATCCCTTTAGAACCCTGGACACTGCTTTCCAAAGTCACTTGCCTTTCTAAAATAAAACAGCAAATTGACAACCCAGTCAATTCCACTGACTTTTATCGTTCTAATTAATCACGATTAATCCTTTGCAACCCAATGTTGACTTTCTAACTCAAATGTTTTCTCAAATGGTTGAGGGTTTTTGGAAATCTCTTCCCAAAAATACATGATGGAAGTGAAGTTCTTGAATATTTTAAGGCAGAGACAGATAGATCCTCAATAAAATCAAGAGGCTGTAAGGTTATCAGTGGTAAATTGAAATGCAGAGTTCAGATCAGCTGTGATCACAAACAAATGACAGAACAGGCACAAGAGGCTGTGTGCTACTCCTGCTTCCATGTTGAATTCTAGAAGTTTTTCAACATTATAAACCATAGGAACTATCGGAAATCAACTTGTTACCTGTAGTTTGTCCATTTACATGGACATACGGCAAGTGATAAAGTCCCAATAAGCAATCAAATTCTATTAACACAGCAAATAATTTTAGATTTTAGACCAGGGTATTCAAGCTATGGCTTGGAAACGGGTGGATCAGCTATCAAAGGCCAGGCAACTTCTGCCCTACCCCCAGGTTTGCCTCGTGTTTTGCGATAGAAGGGGAATTTTAAGCACAGCTGCCTCATTGGTGTAGAAACCAGTTTTATAGCAGCAGGCGAATTATTCTTCCTCACTACGTACTGTGAATGTTTATTTGAAAGATAATGGTGCAACAAACATTGGTAAGCAAAGATTATACTTTGCATCCACTTTCACTGGAAGCCAGGTAGATGTACACTTTTCTTTTTTTCTGGAGTTGGGCGGGTGTACAGGCAAGATAGAATCAGGACATGGTACTCACTGGGAATGGTGGTGACAACTTCACCAACTTGTAGTTTGTAGAGGATTGTGGTCTTGCCTGCTCCATCCAGACCCAGGATTAATATTCTCATTTCCCGCGTCCCAAACAAGCCAGAAAACAAAGTGGAAAACCACAGACCTGCAGTAATCAAAAACAATATCAGCATGGATGTGATATAACTGTTCTTCTGCAAACAAAGTTATTTAAATTTGTACCTAACTTCTATCACCACTCAAGTTTAATGGATCAAATCTATTACTCATTTGAGTAACAGCTGCCGATATTGTTTCCACTGCTACTACTTAGTTAGCTCAGATACATCACAACTTTTATTCCTTTAGCTGTTCTACTGCCACCTCCTTTTACCTTGCGCTATCATCTCTTTGCTGTTCATCATGCCTGCCTTCCACCTTTCATCACAACTCAACCTGTTTATTTTCATCCTTCCCCCCTCCTTTCCTGCCTATTTTGGAATGAGACATTTATCCTAAGAACAGGAAGACAATGCCATTGAACTAGAGCATCAACTCATCTCTCTCCAGAGAGAACTTGTCTCAATAAGTATTTCTAGCATTTGCTGTTTACCCAACAAACAACTTTAATGTCAACTGACAAAAACAAATTAATGTGGATGCTGGATATCTGAAATAAATCTTTGGAGAAGGCCAACAGGTCTAGCAGCTTCTGTAGAGAGATAGCATTACTATTGAGTGCAGCGAGATTCTTTTGCAGAAGGAAACTTTACCATCAATTTTGTATGATTCAGTCATGTGATGTGAGATGTGGCCAAAGTCAGATTTTGTTGCCCATCTTACTGCCTTTGAGGTGGTGGTGCCGAGTATCTTCTCGAACCACTATTGTCTGAGAGCTGCAGGTACACCCACAAAGCTGTACACCATCTCTACTAAAATGCTAAGCAATAACAAGCCATGGGTTGGAAGCAGTTGGAGCACCACCTACAGCTCTAAGTGTCTGAAGATGCAAAAAAAAAGTTTCACCAGAAGGACACAATGAGTGACAGGTTTTAGTCTGAGCACAGACCAGTGAAACAAGGTTGTCTCTTTAAAAGACTTCGACCTCATAAACAGGCTCAGGTTAAAGAGGAACAAAAACAAAGTTGCTGGAAAAGCTCAGCAGGTCTGGCAGCATCTGTGAAGGAGAAAAGAGTTAACGTTTCGGGTCTGACAGCCCTTACTCAGAACAGTTCTGAGTAAGGGTTGCCGGACCCGAAACATTAACTCTGTTTTCTCCTTCACAGATGCTGCCAGACCTGCTGAGCTTTTCCAGCAACTTTGTTTTTGTTCCTGATTTACAGCATCTGCAGTTCTTTTGGTTCAGATTAAAGAGGAATCTTGATTAGCTGCATTTAATGTTGATTGAAGGCAGCATGGCAACATTTTAGAAAAGGAAGTTTCTCTCCCGGATGCTGACAAACAAGCCAAACTCTTTGCAGGTGCAAGCGTTTATTCATTTGCTTAACCTGGCTGTTCTGTGTATGGAATGCCAATGCAGAAGCATCAGCTCAGTTACTCAGAGGACTGTCTGGAATTGGAGATGAACAGAGCTGATCAGCTCCTGTTAGGCCTCATGCAAGATGACACCCTTGCAGATGAGCTGAAAGTATATGGCAACAGCAAACAATATGCCAGTGTCAGTGCCAAAGCACAAAACATTTTGACGCCCAATGTGGATCTCAAAGGATTCCCATGTTACGTCATCATTGCTGACCTTACCATCTTTTTGTCCAAAAGCTTCATTTTTGCAAGAAGCTTCAAGACCCCTACTGCTCAAATGGTTTAGCATCTTTGTTAGATCAATTACACTGGCCTCTTTCTCTTACTGAGGAAATCATAATTTTAGACCTGGCAGTTCTGAAACTGTACTAGGATTTGGTGCAATTTGTTCAGCTGTGAGCTGCAGTCTGACAGTAACCTAGACAAACTTTTCCCATGGTGCTCAGTAGGAGATGCCGAAATAGTAGTCCAATCACTGCAGCTGCCTTCTAGAGAGTTAATCTTCACATCTACGTATCCAAGGTACTGCCCCATCCTACAGTGGACATTGAGCGACAACCTGATACAAGTTTATAAAATAATGAAAGATATAGAGACTTAATGGAAGTTGTCGTTTCCCTAGGATGGGGGAATTTCAATACTAGGGGACTTAAAAGGATAGAGGAGAGAGATTTAAAGAAGGGGAATTTTTTTAAAAAACACAGGGTGGTTCACACGTGGAATGAACTTCCCGAGGAAGTAGAGGATGTGAGTACAATTACAAATGCTTAAGAGACATTTGGATTGCTACAGGTACATGAATAGGAAAAGTTTGGAGGGATATGGGCCAGCAGCAGGCAGGTGGGACTAGTTTAGTTTGGGATTATGTTCAGAATGGACTGGCTGGAGTGAAAGGTCTATTTCTGTGCTGTATGACTCTAATGTCCATAATAATTTCCATGGAGCACATGCCTTTCCACTCACTTAGAACAGAGAGAGGGCACCATGTCCTGTCAATGAGGAAATGGTGTCAGCCTATCAGGTCTGGTCTACACATGACCCTAGACTCAGTACTGTGCCCCCTGAAATGGCTGACTGAACCACTCAATTAAAAGTGCAGTTAGGGATGAGCAACAGATACTAGTCTTGCCAGCGATGTCTACATCCTATGAAAGAGGAAAAGTCCACCCCATACGCCAAAATATCATATTTGTGCTTCACAAACTAAAAACATTGTAGAGACCATAACGGCAAATATATATCTATGGGCTTCCTGGGTTAGCACTCTTGAAATAACTTTAATTTTGTTAAAATCATAGTTGAACAATGGATACTCAAGGACAAATTAATTCAGGGCATGCCTGCTTAATCTGGAACGACCTCAAGAATCCAGCTATAACATTAAGTAACACTAGTGTGCTGCATGGCACTTCCATAGGCTGAAGGGAATATCAATTTACCGATGTTTATGGGGACTCCAGGTAAAAGAATGCATCACACGAGACAGAAGTAAAGATATAGTAGCAAAAACAAAAAAAAAAAACAAAGAACAGTGCAAAAGTGAAAATTCCCAAAACCTTCAACTTCTGACACCTAGAAAGACAAGGGCAACAGATACATGGGACCATCATCTCCAAACACTTGCTTAAAGTCACAAATCAAACTAACTTGAAACCATGTCACCATATCAAAATCCTGGAACTCAGAACAGCTTGCCTGGGATGCCCATATCCAATGAATGAGTTTACTTAAAAGATAAAAGAAAACTGCATTTCATGGTTTTTCTGAAGACATTGCTCTTGCATTCCCTCTGAAGCCCCGCGGACACCCAACACCCCTCTCAGTTTCTCTCCCTCTTTACCCCCTCCCCCATACTTTTCAGTTCTCCCTCCCCACCCCCATACTCCTCCCACCATTCCATAACCCCCTCTCTGCTACAAGGGGAGAAGAGTATTTAAGATAACTATCCCCCTACCCCCATCTCTTTAGGGGATTTTATACAGCTAAAACCCACTGACATTTCTCTGTACCTTGTATATTACCGATATCCTCCTGTAAACAGTCAGTCAATCAGTCATACAGCATAGAAACAGGCCCTTTCGCCCAACTCTTCCATGTCAACCAGATTGCCTAAACTGAACTAATCCCATCAGCCTGCATTTGGCCCATATCCATCTAAACCTTTCCTATCCATGTACCTGTCTAAATGTCTTGTAGTTGTTGTACTCGTAGTTGCCTCTACCACTTCCCTTGGCAGCTCAGTTCATATACTCAACACCCTGAGGGAGAGACAGAAAGACAGAAAGACAGAAAGACAGAAAGACAGAAAGACAGA